ACACATGCTAGGCAAGTGCTCTACCACTGAGCTGCCCCTAGGCCTGGACGACATCTTTACCTTCACAGTTCACCTCCAGCTGGAATTAGACCACTTCAAACAATTCCATCTCACTCCTCCTGACCTTTTTGCTGTTGTCACCATGCATTCTGCTGTAACATATGTCATAAACTCCATGGTGTACTGTTATTACTGTTGTTCAAACAATTATCTTTTAAGAGATTTAAAAAGCAAGAAAAATTCACATATTTATCATTCACTCTGAATTTTCTCGTTCCTTTCTGTACACTCACGTTCCCTTCAGATTTTATTTTTTCACGGTCTAAAGGACTTTTGTCAACATTCCTTACAGTAGTAGGAGCTCCTGGTGATGAAGGCTTTTATGCCTTTAAATGTCCTTTTTTTTTTAGTACTGGGGATCGAACTCGGGACCTTGCATTTGTGAGGCAGGCGGCAGCAGCACTGAGCTAAATCCCCTGCCCTTTTGCTTCCATTTTTGAAAGATACACTAGGTAAAGAATTTAAGTTTGACAGTTTTTTTGGTATATGTGCTGCCGAAGCGAGCACAATTTTGACAGTTTTTTTGTTGTTGTGGTGGTGGTATGAGATTGAACTCATATATGCTAGATGTTCAGATTTTAATATAAAGTATCCCTCCAAAACTCATGTATTGAAGGCTTGATCCCCACAGTAGCTGTGTTCAGAGGTAGGGCTGAGAGAGGTGACTGAAGAGTGAGGGTGCCAACCTTATCAATGGATTAATCTATTGATGAGTTCACAGATGAATGGGCTTTTAGGTCAGCCTGATTAGAGGAAGCAGGTCACTGGGGCTTTCCTCTCTCTGCTTCCTGGCAACCATGAGGTGAGCAGCTTTTCTGCCATGTCCTTCTGCCATGATGTTTCTACCTTGCCACAGGCAATAGAGACAGGTGGCCATGCACTGATTCCTCTGAAACTGTGAGCCAAAATAAGCCTTTCCTCTTTTAAATTGTTATGCTTAAGTATTTTGTCACAGCAACAAAAAGCTAACACCTGGGCAAGTGTTCTACCACTGAGCTGCACATCCAGCCCTTTTAATTATTTACTTTTTTTGAAACAGTGATTCACTAAGTTTCCCAGGCTGGCTTTGAACTCATAATCCTTCTGCTTCTGCCTCCTGAGTAGCTGGGATTATAGGCATGTGTCACAGCTCCTGGCTTAGGCTGATAGCTTTTCTTTCATTGTTTCAAAGATGTCCCTTTATGGTGGTAATTTTTCACTGACTCTGTAAGAAAGCTGCTGCTGTCCTTGTTTCTGCTTGCTTGTCTGGCTTTCTTTACTGGCTGCGTTTGGATTTCTAGCTTATGACTGTTTCAGGTGGGGCTGTGCCAGCTGTGGTGCAGCTCCTTGTTTCCTGGGCTAGGGGTTTGCAGAGTTTTCTGGATCTGTGGCTGTATAGTTTTCATCAAATTTGGAAAACCTTTAGCCATTATTTCCTCAAATGTCCTGTCTGCCCACCCCTCAGGAGCCCCAGACACAGTATGTTATGTCTGTTGCAGCTGTCATAGGCTCAATGACACTCCTTGAATTTAAAAAAATTTTCTCTTATGTTTTCCTTTTGGATGGTGTCCATTCCCTTTCTTCTATAGTGTTTAATTAGTTGCTCATCCAATCTAGAGTATTTTTCATGTCACAGATTGTCACTGTCATCTCCAGAAGTTTGAGTTGGGTGCTTTTTATGTCTCCAAATCTTAAATATATAGAACAGACTTTTCATATTATTTTAATGTCCTTGTCTTCCACTTCTAACATCCGCGCAGGTCTAAACAAGTTTCAGCGGTTCGTTTTCCTTTTCCTCATTATGGGTCTTATTTCTTGATTCTTCATCTGCCTGGTAATTTGATGGTGGAGCGTGCACAGAGTAACACAGTGCAGGGAATGATTTACAAGAGATGTTCTGGGATCAAATTACTTAGAGTGTGTCGGGACTCTGAAGACGCCCCCTTCTACCAAGTGAGGCTACCTATACAGTCAGGGATCTCACAATGTATGCTGCCCCTCAGGCAGAGGACAAATGATTCATCTGTATCCTGCTCCACCCTTGGGATCCCCTCTTCTTTTGCCCACACGAAGCCACCCTCTTGAGGACCTAGATAAACCCCGCTTCCTGCATGAGTCTTTTAGGAGCCCCTAGCAAAAGAGTACACAATGGGGCTCAACAGCTGAATGGGAGAGAAGACAGGTCTCAGTGTGTGCTCAGTTGGGCCCAGCCAGAGTGGGCCCCACCATTTCCCAACTCTCAGGGTGTTCTGGGGGGCTAGCAGGCTCCTGATGAGAGCATGGAGTCCCGGCAGTCCTGCATCCTCACAGTGTACCCTGTCCTGCCAATCCATGACAGCACACTCGAGGAGTCTTGGGCGACTCTGAGCTCTGAGGGGGAACAGTTCAAGAGAGCCAGGGAGGCTGGCTACCAGCGTAGCTAGATGTTAGGAGCAGAAAGACAACTGCTTAAACCCAGATAGAGCTGTAATCTTGGGGAGTTATGGCCAGGATAATTATGAACAGGAAGGATGAGGTAAACAAGGCTCAGTTTCAACCGGAAACAGTTCAAAATGTTCCTCTATGGGATTATTGCTGTTAAGTACACAGGTGCAACAAGCTGGGTAAGAAATTAATTCACAGGATGGTCCCTGGTGCGTGTGGGTATTTACAAGAACACTGCAGGCAATGACATTTCCAGCTGGGCTGCAGGAACAGTGCGTCACACAGTGTGACATGCACAGCTTCTTCGGCATCAGGCACAGTGTATGCAGACCGCACCTGCCCAGGGTGGGTATGAGAAACCATGTGGCACTGGGAGAGAATATGAACAAGAGGAGGATATAAACACTATTCCCTACATGCTGCGATGTGCTTGCTGATCAGCTCTAAAGTCAGAGACAATGGTGAAGTGCAGATAAGACAGGCCACCTGCTTTCAGATCTAGCCTCTCCTAAGATGACTAATAAGGACCTAAGGCCAGGTACTAAGGGCACTACAAAGATACATAATTATGAGAATCAAAATTAACTTAATCGTGTTCATGCTGTAGTGGTAGGCGAGGGTGAGACTGGGGGTGCAAGCTCAAGTGTCCTTAATCACCGACATGTTGGTCACTGTCCCTCATCCCAGACCCACTGCTCATTGCTGGTGGTTGCTCATCTATTGCCCTGGGTGCCTTTTCTGCCCTCTGCCCCCTCACCTTGTGCTTTGTTTCACAGCAGGATCTCTGTATTGTGCACCCAGGAGGCCTTCCATATGGTACCATGGCCAGGCACCAAATAATGGTGTCAGTAAGTTTCTAAATGTTCTGGCACAGATGCCAAAGACAATGGGGTAGGAGAGAAACAGTTTTGAGATGACTTCCTGAGAAAAGCTCTTCTGTTACATAATGTGGCTCTTCAATGAATTTGAAGGGCAAAATGAAAATGACAAAGATTGCTTCCCAAACCACAAGACCAAGCTTTTAGTGTAGCAGAAGTCTTAGTGTTACAGAGACAGGCAGGTTGAGTGTGGATGTACTATGCTACAGTCCACAGAGCAGCTGCCCACGCTGTGGTTCTGATGCTGTAGCTCCACTGCTGTGACTCATGGAGGCCAGTGATGGCCTGGGGAGTGAGACTGGCCTGCTGGAATAAATGAGATGGGCTCAAGCTCAGTTCTTTAACTCTTAAACCTGGTGTAGTCACCAATCTTTTAAAGTAGTCACTCCTTATCAGAAGTTAGCTTAATGGTCAGGAAGGTAAATATTTTGTTGAAATAGATAATCATCTGGTCATCACAGAGAAAAAAGGCAACAGAAGAAATCACGGGTTAGAGCCAGGTGCAGAGTGTGGGGCTCAGCAAGAGTCAAGGTGCAGCAGAAGTCAAGGTCAGCCTTGAAGTAGTTGAGAGCAGGTGGGGGCAGTGGGCAATTCCCAGCATCAGGAAGACCATGAAAATCAGGAAATTACCAGGCTATTTCCAGCACTGCAATCATTTAACAATGGACCTGGTCGATGCTCTTAGCCAGAAAAACAAGAGACCCAAGAACTAGCCGAGGGGTAACAGATTGCTCTTGTTTCCAAGTGGAATGATGATCTACATGGAATGGCCAAGAGACTCTACAGGGAAACAACTAGAACTAAAAGAACTCAACAAGCTTGCTGAATAAGAAACACTCAGTGAATAAACACTGATACAGTTCCTCCACTCAATAATAAGCAAAAGAACATGCAACGAAGACAGCATTCACAGTACAAGCAATTAGGGGTGATATTATCTGTCAGGGAGAGCCACCTGCATATCCTCCACAGTAGTCACCAGGTGTTGGTTCCCTGGCACTAAACTTGTGTGTGGGGAGAGGGCTGTCCAGGGGTGCGGTGCCCAGATGAGAGGAGGGCCCTGGCCAGATGGGCATGGAGGGGGGGCTGAGCAAGTGCCTGGGGAGCCCATGAGAAGCCAGGTCAGGGAGCCAGGGTCTGGGCTAGATTCGAGCCCAGGGGTTTGATGGTGGGACTCAAGCAGAGGGATGTGTCAGTGGCTCTGTGTGCAGGATTGAGGACGAGAGCACAATGTGAGGACTGGCCGGCCTGAGCATGGATGGGCTGGACAATGTGCTCCAGCAAGTATAGCTGAATGATGCCCAAAGAGCAGGTGGGCTGTGGTGGGTACAGGGGAGCACAGGCAGATCCTAGTGACCAGTATGGCATGGTGACAGGGAACAAGGAGGAGGCCTCTAAGGGAAGTGTGGGGACAATAAGGCAGGTGAGTCTACGGCTAGGCTGGTCACCCAGAGGTAGCCAGTGGGGCAGCATTTTGTCCTGGCAGATGAGGGACCAGAGCAGCAGTTGGGAACAGTACCTGTAGGTGGAAGGCTGGGGGATAGGCGGGAGGAGCTGGTTTCACCCCACATTCAGCATCTCTGTCATTTGGGATGGAGAAGCCCAGGACCCCAAGCAGAGCAGTTTCCTATCCTCAAGAAGACAGATGGAGTTACTCACGCTGTCCACTGCCAGGATCTTGGCCCAGATGAAGACGAGGAGCGGCCGCAGCTCTCGGGCCGAGCTCTGGAGCAGCTTCAGCACATAGGGGAAGATGCCCACGGACAGGGCCTGTTGAGAGAAACAGCATTAGCATGTCCAGTCCCAGCGCTGCATTTGCCACCAGGGAGCAAGGTGGCACAGGTGGCTAGATGCTCCCTTCAGCACTTGCAAGAAATGCGACAGGAACTAACGTGCCTCGCTCCAAGGAAAGAGAGCTCCCTGCAGATGTGTGCCTCTCTGGCTTTATGCTTAGCAGCTGCCAGAACTGCCAACCCTGCCTGAACTGAGCTGGCGGGGGCTTTCCCTCAAGGAGGAACATGCTTTGGGAAGGAGCAGAGAAACATTCTTCCCAGTTTTAGATTTTTCTCTCTCCTTTAATGTTAATTATTCTTCCTAATTTTAGATTTTCTCTCTCCTCCTTCAATGTTGGCCTATCCATGATCACTCTTTGCTTACATGATCTAATTAGTGAAAAACCTGAAACAGACATTAGCAGAGACTGCTCGGTGACTGCCTGCATGCTCATGGACCAGCCCCCAGCCACACAGTCCCGCTCCTACCTGAGTGCTCTTCCCCTGCAGCTCTGAGTAGCAGCAACTTCACTTGTGAACATTTAGTGTACTTCACTTACCATGAGCAACCATTTTTTTATAACGTGCAGTTCATACACAATTTTTCATTGTTCTGTGAATACTGAGTTTTATTTTTGTTCTGAGACAGGGTCTCCATATGTAGTCAAGGTTGGCCTTGAACTCAGGACCCTCCTGCCTCAGCCTCCCTAGTACTGGGATTGCAGGTGTGCACCATCACACCTGGCTATGTTCTGTGAACACTGATTTTTCAAACTTCAGTTTTCAGTAAATGGTGAGGGGAAGAACGGATGAGGGAAGGGGAAGGGAAAGGGAAAGGGGAAAAAAAAAGAATCAAGATACATTATGTACAGGTACAAATTCCCTATGATGAATGTGATCAATATGTATGACAAATATGTTCTAATAAAAATAGTTAAAAAAACGCTTCAGTTTTCAAACATTTATTTGTAAACAGGAACAAAGAAGGTCTATACATTGCAACTGGAAGACCAATCTCTTGGATCTCCTTTAATCTATAGATTTTTACCTCAATTTCTCTTTTATTTCCTTTGTGATTTGTGGAAAAAATGGATCATTTCCTCATTCAATTTCGGCCACTCTTTTCGGTTTAAAATGGCCACTGCTGGGCTGGGGATTTAGCTCAGTGGTTTCGCTGCCTGCTGCACAGGTGCAAGGACCTGAGTTCGATCCCTGACACAAAAAATAAATAAATAAAAAATAAAAATAAAATGGCCACTGCTACTCTTCTAGAAAATGAGCAATGAAAAAGTGTTTCAGAGGGCCGGGGATTTACCTCAGTGGTTCCGCCACTTGCCTTGCAAGCACAAGGACCCGAGTTCAATCCCCGGTACCGAAAAAAAAATGTGTTTCAGAACTGTGTATAAACAGTAGTGACAAGACAGTTGATGGGGTGCTGATTCTTCCGGAGAGAAAAATGCCTTACAAGGCTGAGGGACTCAGCTGCTCAGGGCTCTCAGGCACGGGTAAGCTGCTGTAAGAAGTAACACGCCCACTGTGCTTTCTTTCCTGCAAAGGCCAAGTTCAGCCTCAGATGGAAAAGAGGAAACAAGAAGAGAAAACAAGAGCCCCCAGCACTGTGCCCCATGAATGCTGTACAGACACGCGGACAATTTATGGGGTCGAGGGTCTTCCCAGACCACACAGCTGTGGCTGGGTCTGGACCATGACCTAAGTCCCCAGACTGTCACACAGAGTCTGCTAGCTGTCCTCCCTGGCCCTGCCCCCAAGGTGTGCGAGGAGAAGGCACGTACCAGGCTCACCGCCCAGGGACCCAAGTCCAGAAACCTTCCCAGCAAGTCCAAGGCCCTCAGCCGGTGCACCTGGCTTAGCAGCACCTGGAAAAAAAGAACAAAACTGCATCATAGCCAAACCGTAGCCCTCTGAGAAAGTGCCCACAGTGAGCCCTGGGCTCGGGAGGAGCCTGGCTGACCAGTCAGTCCATCTGTGCTGGCTCCTTCCTTCTTTACTTTTAGCTGGGGCAGCTGTCTGCCTTCTCAGCAGTTCCTGCTTTGAGATAGATTAAGAAAACACTCTTATTTCTTTTCAACAAAGGTAGAATATGCTTACTGTAGAAAGGATTAGAACAAACATTTCAATTGTATTTATTTATTTATTTTAATTTATTTTTTATTTTTGGTACCAGGGATCAAACTCAGGTCCTTGTGGTTGCAAGGCAGGCAGCAGAACCACTGAGCTAAATCCCTGGCTCAATTGTATTTAAAAAGAGATCACTGGTAGCATTTTGGTATATAAACTTCTAGACACTGTCCTCTAAGTACATGCCTTTCTGATGGATTCTAAACGAAGTGACACGTTACTTTATCTCTCGTCTCCTCTTTAAGCCAAATAACATACTAAGAAGAGGTTCCACATCACTAGATATGTACTGGTCATATCATTCCCAATGGCAAGAGAGTACTTCACTTGTATAAATGTACATAACCTATTTAAATGATTTCTCCACCTCTAGATAGTGATCATAAAATGTTGCTCTTATAAACAATGCTGTGATAAATATCCTAGTAAGTACATTTCTGTACATTTACACGACTCCCCCCCAACCCCCCAGGATAAATACGACAAGCAAAATTAGAGGGTCAGAGCATCTACATTTCTCTTACCAAGTTGCCTTCCAGCTGAACCAACTCACCCTTTTAACCAGAAAGCACCACTACACAGTGCTCACTGGGAGGGGACCTTGGGCAAGTTGCTTGACATCTGAGCCCTAGTTTATTATTTCATAATAAAATAAGGACAGCACGATACCTACTCACAAAGCTTTCATACAATTTAATTATAAGTTAAAAGCTCCGAGAATAATACTAACATATCATGCCATTATTATTAGCCAATGTGACAGGTTAAAATGTATCCTTTTAATCAGAAGTTTTTTCATTACAAGTGTTTTTCTTTTATCAGTGAATTGGCTACTTTTGTAGTGAAGTGGCTGTGCATATCCTTATTTTTCTATTTAAATGCATGGCTTTTTTACTGATAAGTAACAGTTCTTAATAAATTAAAGAGAGTACCCTTTGCCATATATTTTGTATACATTTTCTGTTTTTGTGATATCAAAATTTTGTATTTTTACAGTTACTTACGTTGACTTTTCCTTTATGGTATCCACATTGCAGGACGTGTGTACCCAGTTCCCCCAACCCAGAGCATCTCCAGGGCACTGCTTTGTGCTGGCTGCTCCAGGAGTGACCAGGGACACCACGCTTATCTGCATGGTGATGGCGGGCAGGGCTAGGAATAATCACAGGCCATAACCTCCGACCTGGATGGGGTTAGGAAGGGGGTCTAGTTCCAGCTGGGAAGATACACAGGATGCAGCCTGGCAGCCAGATCCTGGAGGGTGATTGGGGGATTACTGCACTATGGGAAGAGGAGGGAAGGGCAGCTTGGGTCGGGGAGACTGCTATGACTAACCCTGACTCTGCTCAGCTTCACACAGTAAGGGTGCCCATGGTGATGACACACCTTAGTGCTGCCACCACTCACTGGGACAGCTGGCAGTGGAAGACTCCAAGCAATGCAGGTTTTGTGCTGTAGTTACTAATATCTATTTTTAAGACTTTTGTCAATAAAGAGTACTGAGGAAAATGCCAAAAAGTGGTTTTTATAAATAGAATATTTTTCCTATTTTTTTGGGGGGGGTGGTATTGGGGACCTTTACTCAGCTATGCCCTCAGATCCCACCCCACTTTTATATTATTTTGAGACAGGGTCTTGCTAAGCCACTAAGTTGCCCAGGCTGGGCTTGAACTTGCCATTCTTCAGCCTCATCCTCCCAGAGGGCTAAGATTATGTTGATTCACACTTTTAAGAAAAGGAAGCCCAGGGCTGGGGATTTAGCTCAGTGGTTTTGCTGCCTGCTGCGCAAGTACAAGGACCCGAGTTCGATCCCCAGTACCAAAAAAAAAAAAAAAAAAAAGAAAAAGAAAAAGAAAAAAGAAACTGAAGCCCAACATAAATTCAAATTATTTTAAAAATACTGATTGGGTTTTTTTGGGTGGGGGATTGTATCTGTATTTCAAAAAATAAAAACAAAGTTGGGCCTGGGATGTAGTTCAGTGGCACAGCACTTGCCTAGTGTTTATAAGGTCCTGGGTTGGATCCCCAGCATGGAAAACAACAAACCAGACAGATAAAAATCAAGATAAAACAACTTCCTCCTCCAAAAAACTCCCAAGTTCCTATTTCAGACTATTCCAGGATGCATGGAAATTATGGAGATCAATGACAGCAAACTGAACAAACTACTATGGTTTCTTTTCATCGGTGCCAAACCAGACTAATTATTAAGCACGGCTACGTGAATACCAGTTAAAACAGACCTGGCTGAGGCAAGCCAATTCCATTTGCCCATTGTACAAAGATAGTAGTCAGACTTCCGGCCTGAGACTTGCTGGCACAGCTGCTTTGTGGAAAACTGACCCTTGAGGTCCAGCCCTGGGTCGTATCTGCAGACACAGGTGCTCAAGAACCTCTGAGGAGCAGCGCCATCACGGAGTATCTGATGCCAATCCAAACAACAAATATGCATATATGTAACAAGGCCACTCCAGGCCATTATTCTGCTGCCTCCCAGAAATAACCCTGCACTCTCAGAATCAAAATTTATTTGAAAATAAGAGTGCATTGGCAGCAGGGTTCTCCGATCTCATACTGATTTGCAAGATCTCTGTAAAGGTACTAAAATTTTACCCTATGAAATAATCCTCTCCTTGCTTTCCTATAATATTAACCTTCATTATTCTTTAGCAGGGGCCATCTCTGCCCATCCACTACCCAAGGGGAAGGTGGACAGGGAAGAAAGTCCTAGGCAGGATCATACAGAGCCAGAAGGTCATCACCAGGCTGAGACTGGAGAGCTTCTCATAAGGGGATGGATAACTCCTCATAAGCAGCTATCAGCAATCAGGAGTTGGGAGAAAAGGCAATTGAAAAAAATTACAGTTTCCTTCATATTCCTGTTGTTGACTTGCATTTCTAAACAGCAAAAAAGGACATAGAACTGGTTGGGAGAGGTGTATTTCATGTTTATATTTATTTGAGGGATTAGAACCCAGCAGTGCCTGCTGAAACCTCTCATTGGACCCTAGATATGGTCATCTGCTAATGTTTCTTGAGATTGTGGGTGGAGAAAAGTCACTCTGGCTAATGAGGAAAGTAGCAAAAATCTGCAAAAACCTATGAAGTCTGAATTAAGATGCTGCTTCCTTTAAGCAACATTTCCTGCCTTGCCAAGGCAATAGAGGATAATATATGGATAATTGGGTGCTGGATTTGGCAATAATAAAGGTTCTTAAGACAAAGCCTGGGGAAGTAACTGAAAGATTAGAGGCTGGCTGCAGGCCATGCCAATGAGGCTGGCATTCCTCTGTACTTTGTCTTTCCTTACTGTCTTGTTAGTAAATGTTCATTGATCCAGGCTGGGCACAGCTTGGGAGAGAGACCCTCCATGGTGATAAAGAACCTCCTACTTGAATTTGTCTGAAAGATCACACAGAAAATGCCTCATGTTCTTTTCAGGCTTATTTCTTCTTATTTTGGCATAAGAAAGGTGGCTTTAGAGGTCTTCTCTTTCCACAAGGGAGTGTGGACTGTAAATGGAACATTAATGCCTGGCACGGTGCCTGGGATTCGGGGAGGATCAACTTCACTACATCGCATTGTTGAAACGAGGTCAGCGACACTCTGGTGACACAGGTGGCCTGAGGGGGGCTGTGGAGGATGGCCCAGCCAACCCCTAGTCTGCTCCTGGCCTGTTCTTCCTGCACACATCTGGAGGACATCCACCTTTCCCAAATACCTAGCTTCCTTAGTTTTGTAGTTGTTATTTTTTTTTCCCATTAAGTTTATTGGTACATTTTAGGTATAAAATACAGTTACATTCATCATTGGGATCTTGTACCATTACATGAGTATCTTGGTTCTTATTTT